TCTAATTATTAGAAACATAAACATGTTGTTAACTGTTCCTATTTTTCATTTTTTTATTTTTAAAATTGTGTAGAAATTTTGGAAACAATATAATCAAGTACAAATTTTTTATTCGTATTTCTATTTTTTTTTCTAAATGTAGATAAAAATTGTACTCATAAAATGCGTAATAAATATGACATACAAATTTGGAATAATATTTAATTTGAAAATTTAATTTTCATATAGAATTTTGATTTTTTAATTGAAAATATTAGAGTATCAAACATATTTTTTGTTTTTTTTCCTTCAATAAAAAGTAAAGAATAAGAAAGAGTTAACAAACACAATTCTGCCTGAAAAGGAGAAACAAGAATATTACCAACTGAGTGTTAAGGACCCAAGTTGAGAAGACGAAGGGCGGTACAAAAAAGTTTATAACATAATATATTTCTCTCATTGTCGATTGATTTTCAGTTGGAATTCCATAAATATTGATATCAGACTATGAATAATTGTCAAAGAGTTGCTTGGATATCAGAAGCGGTAGTACCGCTTCTTACCTCCTTCATTCCTATTTCTAGAATGGTTTGTTTATTTATTAATTGATGTGATAATATTATTTTCAAACCGAAGTTTTAATGTTAATTTTACTTGTCATTTTTCACCTCAATTAAAAAGATCAAATTAAATTCAAATATATGAAATCCTTATAAGTTATTTTTCTTTTCTATATTACGTGCATTTAACAAAAAAAAAAAACTTCATTTATCATTATAAATTCATGAAAAAATTTATGATAATGTCTTCTTATTTTCTTATAAATAATCTTTATCTTGATACATAACATAATTATGGCATGATCAACATCATTCAAGAAGAGTTTGAAAAAATATATAAGAAAATATATTATTTATGCAAAAAAACAAAAAGAAAAGATTTTAAAAATAAATTAGAATAATGGAAAAGTAACATGGTACTAGGGGCAGTCCTCGTCATCTCAAACAAATTTATTACATAATTATAAGACCATAACATCTTAAATCTAGAAGGTTAAATTAAATAATAATTTTGAAAATTCAATTTAGAAAATTTCATGACTTAAAAGCGATGGTTGATATATATATATATATAATTAAATAACGAATGTATTTTTTAGTAACATTCAAGAGGGAAGAAAATGGTTGGTGAGGATCCAGATTTGCCACATATAGTCTAGATTTTAAAATTTTGTTCATCCAAAATGACTTCAATTGTTTACCATAATATGATAGTTTTCTAAATTAATTATTCTCAATTATTCTCTTTGATTTGTTCAATTAAAAAAAGAAATTAGGCGGGTCTAAAGAGACGTTTGAATAAGATTGAGACGTGTACTTAAAAAAAGATGATCAAACGATTCGATAAGCATGAATCTGACGTAAAATCGCTCGACATTGTTGACCTTTTGTGTGTTGTTTGAGTGTTGGTAAGTTAGAAATATCCATCAAAGGAGTTGATTTTACGGGTGAGGGTTAAAGTGTCTACACCAAGAAAATAAATCCTTGGAGATAATTGTATTTGGGAATGGGCGAGGAAAGCAATTGCCAAATTATTTAGTTTCTTAGGAAAAAATAGATATATAAATATTTGTTTTAAACAAATTTGAAATTTTAATTTTATCTTTTCAGCATATGTAATTGCCAATAATAATTGAGGAAAAGTGAAGTTGAAAATTAATTTTAATCCAAGAATAACGACGACATAAAAATTATTTTAAACATATAGAGATTAAATTTAAATTAAAGTTGAAATATATAAGTACCAAGAATATAATTATTTAAAAAAAACATATTGATGAATCATATTTGCAATAACATAAATCATGCAACTAATAAATACTATAATAGATATTTAATTAAATATTTAAATTATATCGTGTCAATGAAATAAAAAAGTGTGTATATATATATATATTTTTTTTGTATTGTGTCAATAACTAGATTTACATATTTAATATCTATCTCGTTTTTTAAATGCAATGACACATTTACTCACATTTTTTCTAATAATTAATAATTAATGTTTAAGATTTAGAAGATAAGAAAAAAAAGTAATTGAAAAAGAAAAGAAGATAAGGAAAAAAATATTAAAGCAAATCTTTTAACCAACTACCCACATAAAAACTTTGATGTTGTTATCTTTGTGTATTGTTACTTTTAGGAGTCTTTAATTGTTTTTCTCTATACTTTATTTTATTGATTTAAATATCGTTAATGAGTGATGTGAACCGTATGTAACATTGACATCCATAGATGACAAAAATAATTAAGATTAATAAGTTAAGGTACATGAATACAATTTAAAAATTTAACACAAGTAGAAATTCATTAATATGGTTGAAACACACTTAATCGATCTATAAATAATCTAATAGTTAATAGATTTCTGTCGCTATAGTTTGATAAACATTATAATTTAATCAATTTTTAAACAAATATTCTTCTTTAAATACTTTTGTTTTTATAAAAAAATAGCTCTAATTAAAATACTTGTTTGTATTTGGTTGCATTTTCTTAAAAGCAAATTTAATCTTTAATTTGTATGATTAAACTATATCTAAAAATGACGATATTTGAAGTGATTTCAGATCCATCATTTTAAAATGTTTATTAGAAAATAATTATAAATTAATTTGATTATTTTAAAAGGGATTTTTATTTGTTACCCAACCCTTTATATCTTTTTTTTAAGAAATACTTTTGGCTCTACTAATTCAAACATTAGGTAAGCTCAAACTATCTCTGTATTTATGATATGATGTAATATTGAAAGAATGAAAATTTGCATAAATTAAAAATGAGATAAAATACAGAATAATCAGCCACATCTACTCCACTAAGGAAAATTCAAATGGGCCATTAATTAAAGAATTAAAGCCCATTAATTTAATGAGAAAGTTAAAATGAAATAAATATTATTTTTTTTTCTGTCTCTGATTTAGTCATGTCACAATCGCTGTTATTTCAGATGTGAAAAGGTTTTCTGAAAAGAAGATTCTCCCAAAAGTCAAAAAGTACAAAAAAAAGGGCTCAACATTTACCAATTCAATTAGTTCTGGAAGTTATCAACCAAACTTCAGATATATTAAAAAAAAAAAGTATGTATATGGGAATATTCACCAAATCCATAAAAAAGAAAAAACTCAGCCAAGTAATTAATTTCAAAGGAATTAATTATCATGATCATTAGTTTACTTGGTCTTCCATCTTTCTTCCTCTTTCAAATTTCATTATTTTAAAGCGAGCATGACTCAACGGTAATTGACATATACCTCAAACTAAGAAGTTGTGAGTTCGATCTCCCATTCCACCTGATGTATTAAAAAAAATCTCACTTTTAAAATATGCAATAAAAAAAAAGAGAAAAAAAGCACTCTTTTTGAATTCTTTCACCTCAATTTTGGACTTGAAAGGTTGTGTCATTATTCTTCAATGAAGATAATTGAGTATGTGAGGGAAATAGGCTTGACTTGGAAATTGGAATGAAGCTAAGGGTGCAAGTCAAGTCATTTTGGATTCTTTTTCAGTCTATGGTTTGGGAAGGTTTGTGTTGAAATAAAGGTAAACTATTGTGGATTTTTTTTCTTAAAGAAGGAACAATGGAGACCGGTGCAATCATGTTTGGTTTGTATTAGAAGAACGACTGGAATTTGTGATGCTGACCTCTTCAAGAAAGTGACCATTTGATTCTATAAAAGATTAACGTTGATTCTTTATATTGGAATATATTCTAGCTGTGTAGTCGATGATGACGATATAAGAGATAGAAAGTTTGTTGCTGAACCTAAACAATAATAGATACCTAACTTGAGAAATATCTTCTAGTTATGCAAATTTTAAATATGACAAGCGTTAATGATGCAAGCGAATGCTAAGTTCTACAACGAGGAGAAAAGTCTTTTGGTTGTGAGGAAAAACATGATTGACATGTTGATTGTTGAATAAAAATTTAACTGTGTGGTTTAAAAGGGATTTTCGTATCGAAGTTTCTTTAAATTTTGTTCCTTTTATTTGTTCCTTTTAAATATGATTAACAATGATATGTGACGAAAAAGTTGTTGGAATAGCTACTTCATAATATATGGCAGAAAAATGCATCTTTTTAACTTTATACAATGAGAAATATTGACAAAACTAAAACCAATAAGAAGGTTGATCCAAACCTAACTTAAATAATCAAGTAGAATACTTTCTTTCATCGGTAAGTTTGCAAGTTTGAATTCTCTCTTTTTTTTTTGGTTATTTTTAGTTTTAGGGGTGGAGATTAGAACTTCTGACATTTTAATCAATGTTATATGTCTTAACATTAGCTATGCTCATATTAATAATGATTAAAATATTATTTTAGCTCTTGTACTTTTAGGTTTTGTTTATTTTAGTCACTGTACTTTCAAAACTTTCATTTTGACCTATGTACTTTGAAAAAGTGATCGATGAAAACCTTTTAATATAGAGTTCTTGATACATTTCAAGAAATATGTTAAATGTAGTATCATTAAAATTGTGATTGAAAAAATGAGTTACAAAATAAAATGAAAGGACCAATACCAATATACGATCACTTTTTAAAAAGATACAGAGACCAAAACGAAACACATATATATACTAACGAAAAATAGGAGAACCCAAAGAGAGAGAGAGCACGAAAGAAAAAAAGGACCACCAATGTTTTAAATGTTTTAAACAAACACCAATGCCCTAGATCGGTCATTAAAACAAGAATAAAAATAGACAAAAGTTGAAAGTACAATAAAAAAAAAGTTGAAAAAGTTGAAAAGTATGACAAAATTAATATTTTGATCTTCCTTTTTTCCATTTATAGTTATGACCTGAACTCTTCATAGGTATGACTTGGTTTTTTGTATTTTTCATAAATTAACTAAGAAGTTTTCTTGTTCTATCATCCAAAGGGGGGAAAAGAAGAAATAAGAAGCATAAATTAAGAGAGAGATGGTAGTCACAAGGAGAGTCTGAAAAGAGTTGAAAAAGATAAATGCAGCTATGGACATTTATATTCAAGAGCAACATCCCATATGCTCACATACAAATATATAAACCAATAAACAAATTACAGTTCAACAAATTTAAACATTTATCTTTTAGTTCCTGTAGAAGAATACTTCCTATGCTATCAAAACTTTGTACAGAATCATCAGATGAATAGAGCAAAAACAAAATGTTCCAGGAAATGCAACTCTCTCTCTTTCATAACTTCCTTTGCAGCACATCCCAGATATATGCAATTTCATATACTTATCTGCCAGTAGAAGATGAAATTGTCTTCAATTTATGATGATCTGAAACTCGTGGTCTTCCGAGTCCAAGTCCAAAAGCCGAGGGAATCATTGGCTTTATATTCGCCATGTCAGTGATGACTTTCCAAGAGATCAGCCAGTGTAATTTTCCCACATTTGCCAGTGTCTAGCCTGTCAAAGTTATTAGATATCTGCATGACATCCTTCTCTGAGACCTTACCCATCTCCTTCAGCTTGTATATCACATATTCTGACCTACTGCAAAATGGATACAACAAAATACCCAATGTGAGCTTACCCAGTTTAGATATATTTTTTTTATGTCAAGCTAAATGGGAGTTCTATGCACCCATTAGAGAAGCTTTGTAAAGCTCATAAAATGGAAATTTTTTACGTTTTCGCCTTGACTTAGCTATAGCTCAAAAGGCAAGAGGAACAAATTATATTACTAAATCAACGTAGATATATGTACCAAATGAGCAATATGCCGATTGATATACTAGCCAAACCTGCTTGACTGGGATAGTGGACAAAAGAACACAGGATTGAACAGGAGAATACAATTGGGAAGGAAAGCCTAACACAAATGTTGATTTGAACAAAGAAACTTAAACTGGTATCAGAAATCAAACAAGAGATCAATTTACATATTGGACAAAAAAACAATAATCAAGTACAATTTTGGATGACGAACTAAGACAAACCATCATCTAGCAGGGAGTTTCAATCAGAGTTAAAACTCAAACCAGTAGATATAGAAAAGTTAAGATAAAGATATTCTGTACTACGAAATGGAATAAGATTCCAACCTATTTAGCAGAATGCAGAACAAACAACATCATCCACTGAAAACATGTACAGAAGAAACCCTCATCAGAGATAAGTCAAGACGAGGAAAGCTAAAGGAGGAGAAATATATCATGGTTAGTTCATTGTCTTTTTTCAACTTGTATCAAGTGATGAACTATTTGCTATTCAAAACCTTTACAGACCAATCAACAGATTTTGTTCAACCGTGAATGGCATATTTAAGTGACTTACGCTACAAATATTGATAAAGTGCTGGGCAACTTTGGAGTGAAATGATTTCAACTTACAAGTAGCTCGAGGAGGAGGCTTTCACTGCCTCCTAAGCTCTCCTGATTTTTTGTTTGCTTAGTTATTTCCTTAGACAATATTTGTATGGTACTTTAGGTAGGAACCAGAAATCGAATTAATTAATGGAAATATTCTTTTAATGTCAAAAACGATTATAAAGTTCCAAGCACTTCGAGAGATCCAGATTCTCTCGAAATCAGCCCATTTATAAACACTCAATTCTCTAAAATTTACCAACTAATTGCTAAGGGCTAAAATTCTTAGTATTTCCCGACTGGTATCCCAACTCTTTCCTTTGTAACATCCAATAGTCTTAAAATACGCCCGTTCAATGTGTACATGAGTTTTGATTAATATGGTCTTTTTTCATATCAGAATCAGGAAAAAACCAACAGAAAAGCAACCGAGCTGTATCTTCATATTTCAATATTGAAAAGGTCATCCCTTAATTTTTCTTCCTTTTTAGATTAACTTTTCCAGAAACTTTCCAAAATTTGAAGCTGCAACTGCATTTTCTTGCTTTTACTCCATCCATGGTATAACAAAAGTAAAAACTCATTCCAACCAAATAAAAGTGCAACTAATTGCTTGACTTTTTTTATATATATACTTCTTCATATTTGTGAGTGTCCAATCAACTTGTGCGCACCTCAACTATCTCATTGGACAACCATCTAAGTAAATTGACAAAGAAACTTATAGGATATTAAGTAAAAAAGATTCACCAAATATTTGAAAACAAGAAAGAGTTCGTCTAAAAAATTCTATTTCTTTTCTAATAAGAGACTCGACTTTTCAATGACAGTATGATAAATACAAAATGAGATCTATGGTGTTCATAACAAAAGAACAATATTACCAAAGAGAGTAGGGAGGACGCACTAAGTAGAAGTATTATAATTAAGTCAAAGTCTCATCGTTCACCATTTCATGAAAAAAAATCCTACAAAATTCTGTCTTTCCATCTAAAAGATCTGTAATAATAGTAATAGCATGCTTAATTATGTCAAATAGAATGCTGAGTAGGACGTCATAAAGTATAAAAGTCACCCAGAGTTATTATGGGGTAATAAGAGAGAAAACATGAATGCACATTTAAGACAGCCATCATTTTGCATCCAATGGCTCTTCAAACACACCAAAGTAGGCAGACAATTACATAAAAATTATGCAAAAAATGCTCATGCATGTTCGTGAAACAATACAGTTAAGACTTCTCAGCAATCAGAATCAGAACATCCATTCCAATTTTCCAAGCTACTTCTCTAAATGAGTTTGACTGAATAATCTTAATGCATACCTCACAAAGCCATTGTTGTCAATGTCAGCAGCAAGAAACTCAGAGACAGTCATATCCTGACCAAGTATCCATTTCGCCATCATCCTATGCCGCTTATCCACTCTTGCCTCGGCTAAATAAAGAAATGCTCGAGCAACAGCAAGGGTCGACACAAGCAACCAGATTGAAGCAAAAATACGACCTGTCAGTGACTTAAATGCCTGATCACCATACCCAACCGTTGTCACAGACATGACCGAAAGATAAAACGAATCCAGCCACCCAAGGTCCTCAACAAAATGCATAACACCCATCCCAACTCCTATACAAAGAATCACAACACCTAAAGCCAATGCCACTTTCATTCTAATCCTCATTCTTCCCTTCTTCACATCAATTATATAGGATTTTCCAGACTCACGCTGCACCCCCCTCTTTACATTCCTTAACAAATAACTCTCCTGCAAATCAAGCACATAACTGACCATTCCAGAGAGCAATATATCAATAAACCCAAATCCCACCAACACGAACAGTACCGAGAACAGCTTCGTCGCCGTACTATTTGGCGTAATATCTCCATACCCAATGGTGCACATTGTCACAATGCAAAAGTACAATGCATCGACCACAGGATGAGTCTCGTGAGCCGTAAAATTGTCAAGATTAATCCAATAGATGAGCACGCCCAAGGACAGGTAAATAATTAGAAGAACAACAGCTTGGCGGATAATAGATTGGTTACCAAATTGAGGCTTGCGCTCCTGCGAATGGTTGACATCGTTGATGACCGCCATGGCAGGTGCGGTTTTGGAGCGGTGGAGGTTGGTTTTGGGCCATGCGTAATTGGAATCCACAAGCCAAGCCTGTTGGGACTGGGATTGGGATTTAGGGTCCAGAGGGGTTGATGGGTCATATAGAGAAGATGAAGGAGAGGATCTTGAGGAGGACAGAGAAAGCGTCAAGGCGTCGAATATGGGAGAAGCGTCCTGCGGAGAAGATGAAGGTCCAAAAATCAAGCGGTCTTTGAACTCCGTGGGCGTGAGAGGCAGAGTAATTTCGTCATTTTCAGGGAGCGGACATAATAGAGGAATCGGTGGTGGCAGTTTCGCTCTTGGGCTCTGATACGGAAGAAGAGGCTCTTTCTCCATTGGGATACAGCGATGGTTGACCCCTGAGGCCGAGATTCAGCCAGCACCCGCGAAGTTGCAGAACCAGAAGAATGATCACAATAAAGGGTCAAAACGAAATCGCCCAGGCTACGATTTTGAGCGAAGAAATTCAAGTTAAACGGACAAAGAGTTGGGGAAAGCGAGAGTTTAAATGGGAGTTAATTTGGAACAGAGAAGTTTTTTATGGGACCCGGAAGCTGAAAACCATCGAGAGAACCAAAAAGATCAAAAAATGAGAGGCCCAGTTGAATTATTTCATTAGAGAGCAATTACAACATCTTCCTCTGTAAGATTAACGATCCAGAGAATACAGAAATATGATCCGATTCAGAGGTTGAGAGAAGAAGAAGAAGAATCCCATTTCACGCGCCATCTGCAATTGGCATGCATTGGCATTGATTGGCAACCTGTGGATGAAGACAGCGTATGATTGGGAATCCAATTTCATTTCCCTTCTCCTCTGTCAAAAATTTTTTCCCCTTTTTGGGTTTTTTATTGAATAATTACAAAATTAGCTCAATAAAATATATTTGCAATCATTTATTTTGAAGTTTAAGAAATAATCAAATATAAAATACGGATCAAGTTACTGGTTCTTCGTAAGCCATGATAAAAAAATTACCTGCCACGTCACTTGTATGGAGATTTAAAATTACTTACATATTTAAAAATATAAATTTGTTAGGTAAATAAATAAGGAGATATTCAAGTTCAAATTTAAGTATCTTACTTTGTGATTGTCTTTTATTGGATGTTAATTTATTGATTTAAATATGTAAATACTGGTCTTTTATGTCCACGTCTCTAGATTTTTATACAATTTTTATGAAAGCAATGAATAAGTAAAAATAAAATAGAAAGTCAATAGATGAGAGAGATAAGACTTCAAAAAATAGATAATTTTTTAGGAATAAAAAAAATATATAGTCATGTTTGATGCATTGAATAGATGAGTAATTTTAATTACTATCAAGTAGCAAATAAAAATGGATCAAATATTATAAAATATATAGAAAAAGAGAGGATTGATCCTTTGATTTAGTAAGAACAAAAGTCAATTCCATCCACTAATGGCACTCAATTTTTGGAGCTTTAATGATTTTAGAATTCACAAAAAAAATTAATAAAATAAAAAAAATCAACACAACATCATTAATATCAACCTAATGAATATTAATAATTTTTTACTTAAATAATGTGAAATACTTATTTATAACATATATTTTATACAAATTTTATAGAAATATCCATGTAACGTTTCAATAAAATTGAGACCGTTTACATTTCCATTGATATTGATATTTGAAACCACCTTCCTTCTATTGAGAATTGAATATATATCTCACTTCAAACAAAATATTTTTTTTAAAATTACAAATTATAGCTTATCGGGAACGAGCTTCTAACTTGAGAATAATTTTAAGTATGGATGTTCTTTTTTCCTTTCTTTTTTGGTATTGTTTAAACTCTTTTTTTCTAACTTCAAAATTAGTGATTTGTTAAGAATCAAAAGTCACATGGACTATCTTTAAAGACGGGTCGCCTGTTAAAGATTTAAGAAACTATGAAGGAAAATCACTATCCTATCAAATAGAAGAACGAGAAGATAAAGATTTAAAATCGCACTTCATATGAAAAAATTCCAAATCCAGAAAATTTTCCCCCAACTCAATGATGTCTAAAGCACATATAGCAGCTTCGCTCCCATTTATCGTTTTAACTCTATGAAATGGACCATCAATAATTCAAAAAGATAATGGAAGTCATAGAAAAAATATAAAGAAGTTGGATTCTATACTACTCCAAAGGACAATCAGTGGCTGCCATTTATTTATTTATTTTTGGAGTGTGGCTGCCATTATTTACTACGAGATAAAATGAGGCAGGAAAGCATACCTTAAAATTCACAAAGATAACATTTTCATAATAAAATAACCAAATGACTGTAAACCACAATAATTACAATCATTTTCAATATAATATTAACCTGGAATATCCTTATTTTGTGAGGAATATTTTCAGTATTATTTTCCAATAATACCCCTATCCTTTTATCCACAGAGCAGAGATCCATATCCATGGCAAAGTTTCAACATCAAAGTCATAAATGGATTGATGTGACTTGGTATTATCAAAATAAAGACATCACATCACTACCCAAAAGATACACAGAGAGAATCCCACAACAAAGGGACAACAGAAAATGCTCTCAATTAAATAATGGGCCTGACTAAAGTACCAAACATATGCAAAATCTCCCAGGAAAATACACTTCGTACTTAGGGCTGTACAAAGAAAATTCGGTGATATGAAGAATTCGAATAACTTAACCCAAACCACAAGAGTTGAGTTGGATTAGGTAAGTGTTCGACTTGAGTTGGGTTAAGATTTTTAAGAACCGATCAATTTGTTTTGGTTAACAAGTTCAGAAAGAAAATTAGTTCAACTCAAACCAATTATCATATATATTATGTTATAGCCTTATGGAGTTTAATAGACGCCTCTAGATCTCTTGCCTCGAATTTTCATCTATCTCAAGGTCTCACTCTCATCTTTCTCGCATCCACCCTCATCTCTCATAATCTCACTCTCATCTCTCTCATGAACTTCACTCACATCTCTCTTCTCACCCTCATCTCTCATAATCTCATGAACTTGCATCTCACCGTTCGTCCGTTTGTCGCCCATCGCCCCTCTCTGTCATTTGTTACATCTGGACGTTCAAGGTATGTTCATTGTTGTTTGTGTTCAAGGTGCATTGTGAACTTGATGTAATGTGTTGTTAGGTTTGATTGTGAACTTACTGTCCAAAAAAAAAAGGGGTTGCATTTGACCCCTACTTGTACTTTGTACTTGTTTAACTTCCACATTTATATTGAAACAGAAGATGTTAATAAATGCAATTTCATCATTTAACATATAAACAGCAAAGCAATCCAAATCCATTCTTTATCAAGAGCTGTATTCTATTGTTCTAAATTCGTGGGAATTCATCAGACTGTGACATATCAGGCTCTTAATTGAACACTACACCAAGAATTGAAGGAAATTCAATTCCTCTGATCAATCACAAATAAGAAAGCAACATAATAGTTCAAGGTTAAGACTCTGTAACACAGCTTAATTGTTTGAAAATTTTTGACTGCAACAATTGTAATAACAGTAATACCTGCTAATTCTGAGCAGCTTTTGCATTCTGAGATGAGATATATGAGGGGATCAAGACGAAGTAGCAAGCAGAATACATAGATAACGAGGTAAATTTCATATCATGTAAGCGATTAACACACAACCAAGACTGCTGGTACATACATATATCATATAAGGTGTGCAATTCATGTCACTTGCTAATCATCATCCTCGAGAACGCTTCGACGCCTCTGTATCTGAAGAATCATGAACATATATGACAACCGTCAGAGCAAGAAGCAAGAACATATCATAATTCAGAAGGCACCCATAAAATAAGCAATGAAAACTCACAGTGACTTTAGTCTGTTTCGTGGTTTGGTTGTTGATCTGTTCTAGCAATGTTATAAGCCTCTCTTCCGATACCTGCAAAGCAATGGTAAAATCCATTTGTTTTCTTGATACTGGACTTTGTCATATTTTAGAGTAAATATAGATGTGTTTTCATCAGAAACACTGAAAAGAGATACCGTACCTTCTCTACAATTTGGCCCATCTGTGCAGCTCTCAATATAACATCTTCAACACCTCTTGCCTTCTCAGGTTTCACCAAAGCAATTCGAGCAACTGCATAACAGCACAGGAAAAGAAAAAAACGAATAGGCGAAAAAAGCCAGTAACCTAAGTTCAATGATGAATAACTAATGCATAAATTGCCCGTTCTACCTCATGCCAGATAAAAACAAAGCAGCAAGTTGATAAGGATACGATCTTCACAATATAAGGTTTGAGGCAAAATGAAATCCAGTATCATCAAACATTCGAAAAAAGAATATCCATATTCCATCTAAATTTTTATACTCTTAGCAATCTTATTTGATAACAATATTGTAAAGTCAAGAGCATAAATGCTAAAATCACAAATTTACTCGAGCATTTACAAGCAAGGCTGCAAAAAGTACACTTGACAGGTATCTGAATTCAATTGAACAATGATATACTGCAAAAGAGCCGTGGATTGAAATGGGCAAAAGGTATCCAATTCATGTGATGAATCATCTGAAACATTTTTTTTGCAACCACGTGTCCAAAAATTACATAGTATGCAATACCCATCACAACTAATTACCTATAAAAGAGAATATCCAATAATCACTGAGAAAAAGGAAAATGTTATCCATACCCAGCATAAACTCTCTAATCAAGAATGGTCCATAAAATGAAGAATTGCCTCAAAATTGAAAGTATGCAATCAGATCCATCCTTAAACTGAACCAATGAGATCTAAATCCAATTAAGAGAATCTTTTATTTTTCTTTCATTCAGGGTGGGAAAATCAATGTGGGATTGATGGATGAAGAACAGAAGAACACACTTTTAAGGATAGTTGTCCTTGGTCTCTTCAGAGTGTTTTTGTCAAAACTAGTTTCTTAATTTCATGATTAGCTCCTGATGAAAATGGATCCAAAACTTCAAACCACAGAGCAAGGAATAGATGCATCTTCAGACAATCAGACTTCAGAGACCGTACAGACCGTATAGAAGAAACTAGCTCTCTCCAAAGTTGAAGAATAAATTGCAATCAAGAACTTTGAAAATAAGTAACTTTTCTATTTCAACTTACGTCTTTCTCTTGCTTGCATTGACAAAATCTGACTAAGCATCATTTGTCTGCGTTCCTCTGCTTCACTGAAAGTGAAAATCATTGTTTTCATATGCATATTACAGTAGGACTTGAAAAACAAAAGTGGTAACTAAATAACAACTGCAAAATAATAAAAATAAAATTGAGAACCTCCTAGCATCTTCCTGGGCCTTCTGTTGTTCGGAATTATTTTGGCTTCCCTAATCATCAATAGAAGTCAGTAGGGATGTCAACGATCAAGTAAAATGTAGGCAGTTGCTACCATGTAAACAAATAGACCACAGCTTACCATGCCTCGCTGGGACATGAGTTCCTGCATTCTTCTTTGCCTGATTGCTTCTAGTTCAGGATCATCCTATATAAGAGCCAAGTATTTCATTCAAAATTATAACAGAGATAATAAAAAGGCCACGAGAAGGAAAGATAAGAGTTTATCAGATGCCAAGTATAGTTGAAAGCCATAGCAACTTCCTACTTTGATAAAGTAAGCATCTAAGCTTGCCTTGCCAAGCTAAGTAATCAAACTTATAAGATTGGAATCACTTGGTGAGGTCGTAAAATATAGATTTTTATTGGTCCTCTATGAGGAACTGAAGCAAAAATTTGACAGTGAGACAGACAGAGATTACGGTAAATAATAATAATAATACCAATAAATATTGTGAAGATGGACAATGATAAATTGATGGTTCAAATTTAAAATGCTGGTGCAAAAACTACCTAGCAGAGATCAATTTCCCTATCTTTTTGTGACATTTCTTGAGCCTTGACAACGCCAACAAGTAAAAACTTATTTTTCTAACCTGTCACCCTGAAATGAGTTATAAATAATACATCATATCTCACTTCATTTGAAATTGCAGTGTGAGCATGAATTTATCAAACGAATTTTTTCAAAACCAAAAACCACTCAATACTGTGCGCGTGAGTTTGGTTGGATACAGTTAACAAGTTACGCATAGAAATAGACTCTTGATTTCTAATTTAATCTTGGCCTCTTGAGTCATCCAACTATAATCGGAATCCTCACTAAGGGGGAAAACACAAGCAAACGCCACAAGATAAAAGCCAAAACCCAGACTAGGAACAGAAGAACTACTGCCAGAGTAAAACAGCAAGACCCACATTGGAAAAAACGGGGTTCGGAAAAATGAAAATCAAAGACTGAACAAAAGGGGGTAAAATTAAGTTGAAGCAACATTTGATTACATCGCAAACTGCAGGGTTTCCAAAGAAGATATAAATTGAATACAGGAAATTGAAACGGGCGAATTTACCATTGTTTCGGGGAGCGAGCTAACAATTGGTAGAACTACAGTTCAAAATATGTTCCTATGAGCCGGAGAGGCGGAAACGAAGAGACGGATTTCCTCGGTTACGCGTTTATGGGACGCGACCCACTTTTTCCTTGTAGCTCGTATCGAATCTCCTAATTTCTTATTTAGGGTTCTATTTTTTCTTTTTCTTTCTTTGAATGAGTGTATGAAATAGAGTATTCAATTTCTAACATTTTCATATGCATATGGACTTGACATAATCGATAGTTATTGTATTAAGAAAAAGGGAAAATTAAATAAATCGACATTTATATATCATCACTGAAATATATAAAATATGAAGAACCACTCACAAGAATAAATGAATAATGTTAGTAATAATAATTTTAAAGTTATTTAAAAGTAAAAATTCTTCTTTGTTCATTTTTTTTAACATCTTATTTGTTAATTTAAATATTGTCGATGAATTTAATCATTTTTATTAATTTTTCATATGTTGATGTTTTTTTTTTATAAAATGGATAGTTCAACGTTTCTCCAACATTCATATTTTAAACTTTTGTTTTTTAAGACAACATGGAGATGGTAGATCGAACTCACGACATTTTGATTGGACATATATACTAATTACTATTTAGTTATGTTCGTTTTGACTAAACTTTTATTTTTTTAATACAAATAAGTTAACACGAAGGAAATGAACCCAACTTGGGAAGGTGTCAATATGAATAATTCTTTTTACCCATATCGAGTATTCTTTTATTTAGATTATTGAGTGTTGATATCTCCTTGCATGAGCCAAAGCGGACATAGTTTAGCAGTAATTGACATATATCTCCAACCAACAAGATTGTGAGTTCGAATCCCTTCATCGACATGTTGTACTAAAAAAAAAGCATTATTTCAAAAAATATCTCATTGCAGTAAATGCTAAAGTATTAGTGGCTTAATTCCTTTTTTGTTTCGTAAGGGTGATTTCTTCTACCTCATTATTTATGCATTTTTGTTCTTATATAATATATTATTAATCGAGTTTCACTATCAATTATATCTTCTCTATTAATGGGTTTCATACCATTTTGGAATCAATTTTTGCACAAAGAAGTCAAATTTCAGTCTCAAATGCTAAAGTCATCCCCACATTTAGAGTCATTGTTTCTGCAAGCTCAACAAACCCTTTAAGATTCATAGCTCTATCAACAACTAGCAAAACTTTCACGTCCATGTCACGAATGATTATCCCACGACCTGTCAATCCATCAAGAAGCATCACATATTAGTTTAGCCTGTAATTTGGTAAATCAAGGTAGATCAAAAGGATTTAGAACGAATGAATTCAAACCTCACAATAGTCACCTACGTGATTGAATGAAAATTCGTCACACATTGTAGTTGTCCTAATATCAATGAGATGCACATTCAAAATTTTCATGTCATTCATGATCTGTGTAATAGCCAACCGAACATAAGTACCTATACTTATTTTCTTAGATAAGAGATTTTAATATCCACAAATCACATTAATTATACTAAAAAAACTTATTAGATATTAAATTGAAATGCATTGGATCACTTATCTACTAAACAAACCATACTCCAATAATATATAAAGCGTGTTTGAGAATTGTTTTGGCATGGTTAAAACCGCTCTCATGATTATTAAAATTACTTCATTTTGACAAATTAACAATTAATTTTAGAAAAGTTTAAAATCAATTTAAACTAATTTTTTCAGATATCATTATTTTAAATCTATTTTTTCAAAATCACTAATTGTACCATCATTTCCAAACACACCTATCAACTATCAACCACGTTATTTTCGTCAAATAAATAAATAAATAATGAAAAAAATCTGTTGCAGCGTCGTCGTTTGATAAATTATCGTTGTTATCAGTTCCAACTTCTGACGGTTATCGGCGCACGTGTTCACTTGGAAGTACTGAGCGACAGTTTCACATACGCCTTCATCTGCCCAATGGCACTGTTTTCCCACTCTCCGCTGCGGTTGATTTTCAAAACCAAGGTCGTATCGCGATCGTCTTCTTCATCCTACTGCTGCTTCTTGTACAATTTTCTCGTTGAATCGGCCATTCAATACTAATTTCCGAATCTGCAGGTGCCACTTGCGTCGTTGTTTCACACGTTCCTTCGAGCTCATGGACGGTAATTACCTTTCTCCGAATCCAACTGCACGTTTCCTTTATCATTTTATAGTACATGTCGAAGATCTCCAAGTCGAGAGGAAAACCGCTCCTGTGAATGAAAAAGTTGGGGTAAAATGTATCGCACGATTGGTGTTTGTATATATGTCTGATTCGCCCCCGTTTTGGTGTTTGCATGATGCATCTGTAATTGAGCAATCGCGGTTGAGAAACGCAGATTTGAAATAAGGTGGATCGCGATTTTGTTAATATCAGATAGAAATTAAGATTATCAGTCCAAATATCTTTGTAGTTCATCTATGCGCTCACATCCGTGTAGTGCAAGACAATCGAAGATAGATCCAAAAATTACGGTTGAAATGATAATTATGGTGTTCTGATGGTCCAAGCGTTAAAAACTTGAGTCCCGATCATTTTTGGTGGATTTCATATTGTCCATGACCAAAGTTGCTTTCAAATTATCATATTAGAAAACTTATTTTATTTAATCTGCGTCGGGCGCTATAGTTTTCCGGATACTGCTCTGATGTTGTTTATGCCAATGATCTCGCGTGTGAAGCCATTACGTTACAACCTTCTCTACCAGTGTATTTGTTTGTTCTATGATCTGCCGCATTTATGTGTGTTGTTTCATCAGTAAACAAATAATGCTTACTGCGATGCTCGTGTCAATAGCAATACAATATTAAAGTTTCATTTGTATGGGATTCCACGTTTTGTTTTACATTCAGACAGAGGTAATTTGTGTATGTACAGTCCAAATTCTCGAATTACTGGGATATGTTGGGAGCATGTGAGCTTACCATCCGGTAGAAAAACACTTTCTGGATTTAGAATGCTTTGTACTGGCGAAGGTGCGTGTTGGCCTTTAAAGCACTTTAAAATTTGTTAAGCAGCTATTACAGAGTGTCAACCTTATCTTTTATTTATTTACGAGCAAGGTTCTCTAGTTGATGGCTACTCCGACCAGAGCACTATCTTTTAATGTCAAGGAAACCTGTAGGGTCTCTTCGTATAGCGGCCATCTCGGCTCCTCCCAGTCTCCTTTCTAAAACGTGCGGCTTGTTTTGTCCCTTTGATTAAGAAAAATGTTTTTCACCTCCACTCTCTGGACTTGAAAAGCTCTGCATTGCATATAATTTCATGAGATCATATTAATCTCCTAGTCTCTGCTTGACATTTATTGAAGTCTATTGATCATTTGGGATCAATAAGTGTACTCTGACTGATGGTTCTATTTAGCCTACTAAATTATTTAGCAAGTTTTGGGACTATTTTTTGGGGAAATGAAATCTGTAGATGACCTTCCGGTCTTTTCTTAGGTCTCTATGTCAACCTTGGTTGATATTGGCTATTATTGCATTATGACCAGAACTGGGTGGGTGTTGTCTAATTGAGTTGAAGCATCATATCCGCATGTGTGTCAGTCGAAGTTGCAATTAGCAATGAATTATCACATCACGTGGTGCTGGTTTATTCTCTTTTTATGGTGCAGTCATATTGCTCTTGTGACATAATTGACCATTTTGTACATGCCAGATTTGTCAGCTAAAAAATGTGTGCCTTGCAACTCAAATGACTTGCGGCCAATGACCGAGGATGCAGCTAAACATCTGATTCAAGAGGTATGTGATATCTGTCTTTGTTTGTTAAAAACTATCATATTATACATTTCATTCATTTTTGTGGCCACTGTCTTATTGTAAAGCTAGCTGAGTGGCACCTGATAAACGAAGATGGTAAACTAAAGTTGAACCGATCATTGAAGGTGAAGAGTTTTCTTAAAGGAATGGAGTTATTTAAACTTATAGCTGAAGTTGCAGAAGCAGAGGGTATCTTGCTTTCCATCTACCAAATATACAATTCACACGTTTCTTTTTCCATGGATCACGATTAATGTAGTTGCAATATGAATTTTCAGAGAGGTCTAAATCTGATACTATAATTCAATGCAGGCCATCATCCTGATCTTCATCTAGTTGGATGGAACAATGTAACAATTGAGATCTGGACACATGCAGTAGGTAAGAATAATATTCTCTTCTATGAGGCATTCAATAAATTTTCGCAAACATTGAACTTAGACTTATTTGTTTCACTCATAATTTTAGTGTCCTATTTTAATTTGCGTAAAAGGCCATTTGAATGTGAATTTGGACCCGTCTTTCTTTGATTTTATTTCTAATTCTTGTACCTTGAAACAATATTCTTTACACTGTACGAATCTTCTGTAATATGGGATTTGAGCTTTGAAAATAATGTGGTAATGTAGCAATGAATTGGGGAACACCTTTATAATTGTTCTTTCGCTAACAATGAGCTGCCAAAACATCTAAGTCATATTGAAGTAGAAGAATGAAGTTTATAATTTTCTGCTGTTGTGTAAGCTTTTAGTGTCAATCTTCAATGAACGGTAAGGTAAGTTTTCAGGTAGCGTGTTCATTCAGATCTCAGGCTACGTTTTGGGCATGGCCGAAAGCACTTCAAACAAAACTGTATTGGAGTGGTTTTTGCCCTTTGGCGCCCAAGTACTCGCTAGAAAAACACTTCAAAGTACATAGAATTAAACATTAAAATGATATTAAGAATGTTAAACTAAAAGCAAAGTCTGGTTTGAGGAAATGCTCTCAAATGGCGATGGCTCAGAATTAGCTAGTTTTTCGTCTTCCACTCGACTGTATCTTCATCTAGCTTGTTTCTTGATTGGTTCCTTGCATCAATTAAAAGTAGTATCCTGGCCTTTTCTTCCCCGAGTTTTTTTGCTCTCCATTCTTACTGAAATCTATGTAATATATGGCTCTATTTCATAGCCCCCATTAAATGGAAGATGGTTCTGACACAATGAACTTTTGGGCAGGTGGGCTGACAGAAAATGACTTCATACTCGCTTCCAAGATCGATAAGCTTGACGTTCATAACCTACTCAGCCGGAAAGTTTCTATTAGCAGTCAACATGACTGCTGAGCAGGAACCAACCATTCATGCATCCGTCCAATGTTCTTGTTTATTTTCACGTATGTTGTTCTATGGCGAGATCTTCTGGTTGTCTCTTCTTTTGTTGCACGTTGTTTCAATTCTGTTTTGCCTATGGAAAAATTATTATTTTTTGGGGTTTAATGAATAGTTTTGATTCTTTGATTGGTTTGGCATGGTGAGCTTTTTAATCCATTGGTAAACATTAAATTCAATTGATTAAGACACTATTTATTTCAAATAAAGCTGTACTATAGAACTAGAAGAAAAAAATAAATTGCAGTTAGATTGAGATGGTCGTGGAGCTCCGATTTTATTTAGTTTTGTGAAAATTTCAATTGTTGGTAATAATATGGGATTATCTATATCGGTATATCCCATACGACCTTCAAGCTCCGTTTTTCTCTTTAAACAATGGATACTGTGAGGGGAAAAAAAAGCATACCAGTTTTTTAAAATAATTCTTAGAAATAACGATAGAAGACAACTTGTTGTGTAAAATATTAAACCTGTAAGTTTAGTCATTTACGTTTAATTAGTTCCTAAACTATAACAAATGTTTAATAAAATTCTTTTAACTATATGTCTAATAAAATTCTTGAACCGTTTAATTTTGTACTTAATAGAATTTTGACCTTTTAATTTTATTTCTAAAAGAACAATGATTTTTTTTAATACAATAGCATGTAGATGTGAGGATTTAAATCATGATCTTTTTTCAAGTCGGTAATAGAACAATGATCTATGACACAAAACTAAGGAAAGTTTATAATTTAACCTAAAAATAAAGAAGTGAAAGTTTATAATTTAACCTAAAAATAAAAAAGTGATTTAAATTGAACATCACCGTGAAAAATAAAAATTTATGTTTTTTAATCTAAAAAGTCAGTATGTTTTATTGTTTAATTTTTATTAATCATTTAAGTATAATATGTGAAACTTATTGGTTTTACTTTTTAAAATAAAATATGGATTAAAAAAAAATGAAAGTTGATTATGAAAATCATTATTTTGCTTGCTTAAAAAAGAAAAAGAAATAAAATATTTAGTCTGCAAAAATAAATAAAATAAAATTACCGAACCAAAAATCAGATCCGAATTCGACCTGCAGTGTTTTGTCATGGTTTTAATTTTTAAATATTTATTTAGTATAATTCCTATATATTTATTTTTTTAGAAATTTACTATTAAAATTTGTATTGAAGTAGTATGTAAAATAAAATTAATTGTAATGACTAAGATAGTTCTATATAAAATATAGAGATGAAAATAAAATATGTAAATGTATATGGATAAAAAAAAATGAAAGTTTATTATGAAAATCTTTATTTTGCTTGCTTAAAAAAGAAAAAGAAATAAAATATTTAGTCTGAAAAAATAAATAAAATAAAATTACCGAACCAAAAATCAGATCCGAATTCGACCCGCAGCGTTTTGTCATGGTTTTAATTTTTAAATATTTTTTAATATAATTCCTATATATTTATTTTTTTAGAAATTTACGATTAAAATTTGTATTCAAGTAGTATGTAAAATAAAATTAATTGTAATGACTAAGATAGTTCTATATAAAATATAGAGATGAAAATAAAATATGGATTAAAAAAAATGAAAGTTGATTATGAAAATCTTTATTTTGCTTGCTTAAAAAGGAAAAAGAAATAAAATATTTAGTCTGCAAAAATAAATAAATAAAATTACCGAACCAAAAATCAGACCCGAATTCGACCCGAGCGCAGCGTTTTGTCATGGGAGATCGCCTCACAAACGCAAACCTGAGCAGATCGAAGCAATTTTTGAATCTCTTCATCTCTTCTGCATTTTATTGAAGAATACTTGGTTCCACAACCTGTTCACTTGCTACTGTAGATGATGGTAACTCCACTTCACTTTTCCTGTATTCGATTTTTCTTTAGTGATTCGTAATCTTGAACTGCCGCTGAATTTAGATGTTGCTTTAACGTGATTTTACGATCTTTACGTTTGTTTTGCTCCGATTCGAACCACATTTCTTACAATACGGTTCAATTTTACCTGCCATGATGCTTGATTTGGGTTCTGCTGTTAACGAAAGTTATTCTTTTGCATTTTCTCCAATAGCAATTATGCGTGTTGTGAATGCTTTTAAGATTAAGATTATAATCGAATGATTTAGAGCCTCAGGACAGATCTGGAACCGATAATTTTTTCAGGTGAAACATAGGAACCGTCATATTAGTGCATGCACGCACATACACTTAGTGGGTAATATCTGGTTTCCGAGTAGCTTCAGGTTTGACGAATTTACGCTTACTTAGCAACTGCGCGAAATGAAGCGGATATTATGTTCCACTTCCATCTAGAATTATTCTGGCTGATGGTGAAAGAGTTGATTTATATATCTGTTGCAATTTTTCATTATTTCTATTGTCAAGAAGGATTATTACTAAAGGCAACGAATAAGATCTCTTTGAGCCGGTCTTTACGTTCCCTCTCTGTTTTAGACCTCCAAAAGGTTATTGTTTATCAGTACATTATTTTCACAAAATTCATTGGCCTGTCACTGGATTGGAACATCAAAAAGAGATAAAGCTTTGGACGAATCAAGGAGATAGAGGAAGTTCAGTGATGGAGATGAGAGTAATAGTTTCAAAGTTGTATTTGTGAGACACAAGAGTTGAGAAATCTCGCGCCTTGGGATAAAGTATTGAAATGCTTCCATACAACAGCATATATATATATATATATATATATATATATATATATATATATATATAGTGTAACATGGTTTAACCTTTTCCTGAAATAAAAAGATCCATTGGAATAAGATTGAAAATCTGATTAACACTTTAAAAAGTTGCAAGGTTTCATTGATGTTTAAGAGACCAAGTGGCAAGTATTCATTGGACGAATCCTGAAATTTCCTGGTCCAAGAAACATGATCCTATCATAAAAAATTTTCAATAGCTTCAGAAAACTATGTAAAATTATTGTTTTTGATAAATCGTACAAAATGAGAAGGTAAAGGTTAAGAGCAGATTTGATACTAATGAAATGTGCTATGTGCAGAAATAGACTCTTGGTTGGTTGGGCATCTTTTTGGCTAATTTGTGTTGTGACTAGGATCGAGTATATTCTTGTAGCAAAGTTATAGGCATTTTTGTGGATGAATTAGTATTTTGTTTGGTTGAATTTTGAGTTAGTGTTTAGACTATTTTCTCTCTTCATTTTGAAAAGGGTATTAATTTCACATTTTATTTAAATTCAGGATTCACTTTAATGAAACTAAAATTTTAAAGTTAAAAACCTTTTTAATTAAAAGAGTAAAAAATAAAATTTATCTTTTATATTAGACAATGACTATTATGCATAAAGTAGAAAAAAATACATCAGTATGTTTTGGTGTTGCGTAAACTATGCTTGTTGTGCATATCACGCATGGTAACCATGCATATTATCATGTAACCGCTTGTGAATGGATATTATTGGAATGAAATATATTTATATATTGTTTAATTTTACTGAGCATTTTCTCTCTGTTTAGGGTTCTGGATGATTAATTGAGCTACACATCGTAGTTACGAACTTATTAAATCAAATTTTAATAGTCTGAGCCCATTCGTTGGCTTAGGTTATGATGCAAGTATATAATTCTTATCTTTGAGTGGTGTCTCACTGTTCCTGGGGCGGCCCAGATCACTGATAACAATTCCATAATTCATGCATTTTTCCTAGTCAACATCTATTGGATGGCAAGTATATAATTCTCACCATTGTGATGCGATTAATATACATACCTGTAGATGTAGCATTACAACAAATACTTTGGATTTTCACGTGAAGATTCTTTACTCTGAACGTGGTTTTGATGTAGGAGTCCTGTCCTTCAATAAAAAATATTCTCCTGTTGGATTCTGAGGGGAAACGTGTGGCTGTCAAGTATTATTCAGATGAGTGGCCAACAAATAGTGCAAAGGAATCTTTTGAGAAAGCTGTATTTAGCAAAACTCAAAAGAGCAATGCTCGAAATGAAGGTAATCCGAAGTCCTATTGTTAGCTTCTGTGCTTTATAGAAATGTGTTACCATTTTGATCGTAATAACTCTAGAGACACTGTTTCTATTGGTGCTTTTTTTTACTTTTTCTTTTTTCTTTTCTTTTTTATAAGAAACAAAAGATTCATTGATCTATCAAAAAGGAGACAACCTAATGGCGGAGTGTTGAGAAAACCCTCTCCCAATAGCTATACAATGGAGGCCTTCCAATTTCTAACTATCATATGTAGGCTATAATTACAAAAGAATTTCTTGTGGTTTATAGACCACCATGAAGCAAAATGCTAAACATTGGAAGGCCCATGAAATTCCTAGCAGTAAAGTTACTTGTCCCATGTCTCTTTTATTTGACAATGAAGAAAGCAACACCATGAGCATACACTATGCAGTTTGGAAAGTAGTCTGATACCACCATATGATGTTAACTTGGTATATCTTCTCTATCTGCAGCGGAGATAGCAATGTTTGAAAACAATATTGTCGTTTACAAGTTTGTGCAAGACCTTCATTTTTTTGTCACTGGTGGAGAATATGAAAACGAGCTTATCTTGGCAACAGTACTTCAAGGATTCTTTGATGCTGTTGGCCTTCTCCTTAGGTCTTAACTCTAAGTCCCATACTTGTTACTGTTTCCTGGTTATAAAAAAAAAACAAAAACAAAAACAAAACCAAACAAAACAAAAAAGAAAAAGGAAAAAGGAAAAAAAAAACCCCTCTCACTGCATTTACTGTATTTCACTGCAAAGTTGCTGTCATAATTAATGTGTGTGGCTTCAACTTCAGGGGTCACGTGGAAAAGAAGGAAGCACTTGAAAACTTGGATCTTATTTTGTTGTGCCTCGATGAAATTGTTGATGGAGGGTATGGTTTAAGCTTATTTCATGCTTATTTAGCTTTATTGATCTTATCGTTCTGTATAGTTTTCTTGAGCTTTAAAGCATACCCTGTTTCTTAAAAGTGCAAAAGTTGTACCATGAATAGTTTTTTAATTTTGATTTTATTCATAACTTAGATTATGAAAAGTTGAACTATCAATACTCTATTTCTTAAAAATACAAAAGTTAATCTGTGAAGAATGATGTATACTTAAATAACCCGTCTTGGAGACATCTTACAAGGTTGTTTCATTTGGGTAAGATGTTAAATTAGTTGTTTTATGGACCATTAAGGGAAGTCAGTACAAGAGGCGCAATCTCCCTCCATCAGTATGATGTAAACATAGTAATGAGATGAAAAACCTCCCATCATGAGTCTGATACAGACATGGTAATGAGTTGAATAAGTATCGAAGCACTGAAATAAATTTAGGAATGCAGCTATATTCGAATTTAATTTTCTAGGTTTTGCAAGATGTTGCTGTAGACGTTCCAACAATTGTTTTTAGTTGAAAATATCTTGTCCTCAGCTGCTTGAACGGGATGAAAATCTACAGAAGAACTATGTCCAATCTTGCCATGATACAAATTTTTGTTACCAAGGATTTGTTCCATCATTTGTTCTAGCTCTGATTGAGATATCTCAGTATTTGTTGCAGTGAGCGATGAGAAGCCTCACGCATTGTTATGCGAACGCTTGGGAGGAGGAAAAAACATACGGTGTAGATTGCAATTATAGAGAGGCATTGCAATTATAGAGAGGCTTATAAGATGCCTAAATATGCCTTTAAAATTTGCTTGGTGTGCAACTGCATCTGTGTGATGTCTTGCATCGCTGAAGTGCAACATTATTACATCTAGATGTATCTCGATTCAAAATGCATGGTTATTTCTATTTATTTTTTCAGTTGCAAACCAATTAGTTTGATATTCTGTTGGCTTTAAAGATATTCAGTCAAGCCAAGGCACTGGATGTTTTACGAGCTAGTCTAAACTACTTCATATTTTTATGCAGTATTGTTCTTGAGACCGATGGGAATGTCATAGCTGGAAAGGTTGCAACTCAAAGTATAGATTCTGCCGCTCCTTTGTCTGAGCAGGTATTATTCCCTATTTATTGTGTGGATCTTTCTCCAAAGCCAAATTTGAACCTTGAAAATTGAAATGCTCAGACGATTGGATAAACTCTAAATTATTCTTTTCCACAGACAATAAGTCAAGCACTGGCCACTGCACGTGAACATCTGACGAGATCACTGCTTACATGATCATATACGCATGCTAAGAGTGAGGAGAGCATGGAGAAAGTAGAGATATGGCAGTACCCTTCGACCCGATGACTTATCAAAACGACTCATAAACTGGTTTACTAATATCACCTTGGAGTTCTTTTTTTGTTCTCTTAAAAGAACAAGCTCGCGGTTGACTCATTAGAAGTTCCTGCTTTTTGTTGAACAAGGAACCTTTTTTGTTGCCCAAAAATAATGCCCATTGCATCATTTCTTGTAAACTTGATCAAGTTGGAAGTCGGATGCTTATATTCTTGTTATTAAATGATATAATGTGAAAATGCGTTATTCTTTGAAGGCTTGAAGAAAGATTTCTATTGCATTTATCATACTCGTCAGATTCTAGTAGAGGTGCAAGTTGCAATCTTCAGAAAACATGTAGAATGCGAAATTCCACAGGACCAATATCTATAGAATATCAGGACAAATGTCTTTAAGGCTAAATCATTCATGTATAATACTTGCATTTTAAGTGCTTTTGAGTTTATACTTATACATTCATTATTCATGCAAGTAGATCGTGGACGAAGTTAAGGCAGAAGACCCCAAAATGATGAGTCCTACATGTTACAAGTGAGTAATTTCTTGCAACTCCATGCAAGATGTTAAAGAAAAAGGAGTTCCCAGTTAACTAACAACAGCTAAAAGAGTGGCGTTTTCAAATTTCTGGCTATAAGATTAGACAATATGGCATGGTGAATGACTCACTTCCAAAAACCAAATAATAAACACACTGCAAACGGAGTTCTAAGAATTCAATACAAACGTAATACTGTACTTATTTCAGAGAAGGGGTCTTCGAACCGTCATGATAATAGGCATTACCATAACGAAGTGGTGTTTCACTAAATGAGCCAAATAAACTGTGGAAACCGACCCTTTCAAAAACACCTTTGAATTAAATGTTATACTAGGTGAAAACTGCAGGAAAACAATGCTTCTTCATACCATAACTACGAGAGAGAATGGGACTGAAAAGAGTGTAGTTTGTTCACTATCCAAATTAGCAGACCTCGTTAAACATAACCAGACAATGATATTGTGTAGAATACAACCTCGTGGCACAGGGCAGTGGCCAGTCGATCTCTTCAGACCAATTAATAACATTTCATTAATAAATTAATGCCAGATCATAAGGTCACCTCTGATTGGCCACTACTACGAAACACTCAGCCTCTATTAGTAGCTGTTTTGCCATATCTGTTGCGACTGCTTCGGCTGTTGACCTTGAGACCCTCCAAGAGATGCGTCCCTCAGGGTTTGCTGCTGCCCATCCAGTGATATGCCCGCCTGGGAATGGTAAAAGTTCGGATATCCCAGAGCCCCAAATTGCTGTGAAGGCTGTTGCCCTTGTCGGAATCCACTCGATTGTTGATTCTGCCCTTGGAGGCTGTAATACGCACTGGCAGGAACAGCAGACATCGTCCGGGAACCGGGCCCATGAATCCACATCGCTGGGTTTTCATTCTGTCATAGATTGTCAAAAAATTAAACCAAAGAAACAGTTTTTTTTAATAATTGGTAGTTGGAGCTTTACTCTCCTATACCCAGACACCCGCACCCACCCCAGGTCTGAACCCGAGAGACATTAGAGATTTTTGGTATTAAAGCTCACTGAAAAGTTCAAACTTGAGAACTCTAAACCCATATGACCAAGAGACTCAAGTCCATGTGGCAACTGGACTGTCCCGTAGTAGCATAGACCAAGAAACAGTTAAACTTCTATTCTATCATTCATATAGCATCCAGGCACTTTTACAGCCTCCTCAAAGAAAAACAAGTGGTCCAAAATTCTAAATAAAAAATCTACCATCAGATTAGTTTTCTATTATTTAACTGAGTAATCAATTCCACATTTCAGAATTCAGAGTGCTCAAACAGTTCAAATAAACCCACGAGTATTAAATGGTTACCTGCTGAAGTGAGAGTAAATGGTTACTATCTTTGTACTGAGAACTTAAAGCATCCTCATAGCCAATGGATGAGCCTGCTGGTGCTGTGGGTGGATTAAGCGGGAAATTTCCTCCAGGAATGCTAGTTGAACTTCCAAATCCGTAACCAGAAGCGATTGCAGCAGATTGAGGCAAACTGCTAACAGAGATGCTATTTTTGTACTGTGGAAGTACTGCTGCCAAAGCTTGATGGTATGTACTGTTACCTGCAAATGCTTGCTGGAAACCAGATGGCATATATGTGTAGCTCTGTGGCAAGAAAGGGTAGCTAATCATATTGGCAAAGTGTCCCAAAGGAAGTGTGGGCTGAGAATAAGGATGAACAGGAAGGTGTTGTGGAAGAGCCGGTCCTGCTGCAACATTAGACTGTGGAGTAGGCTGTGAAGTTGAAATGCTACTTGTTCTTAGAACCTGAAAATTTAACAGGATGGATAATTAGAGAAAGATAAGAATCTGTAAAGGGCATGATTGATTTTTTCTCGCCTGATATTAAAAATATCATCATCTCCACAGCATCACACTCTTAAATAAAAACGCAACTCCACGATAAAATATGATTACCTCATACTATATCATGAAACAACAAAATTTTATAAGAGAGCTGAGAAGCAAGTACTCGCGCACTTTCATCTTTCAATACTTCCCCAGTCGCCTAACTACTAATATGGAATAAACACCTACCAAGTGATCAATTCGGTTGAAAACGAAAAGCCAAGCAGTGATGAAAATGTAAACAACTTCAAGAATCACAAAAATATATCATCAATACTATTGATGAAAATGAAGTAATCAATTAAAGATTAAATCTCACTATTAATTAGTATCTTCACAAACAGAACAATAATAATTTGTATTAGATGAAGTCATACGACTGATAATTGATATCCAATCTCTCAAAAATATAATAAATTGAGGGTATGAATAGATAAGAAAAGAATGCACCTCCGGCATGGACATGGAAGGGCCAGTGATAGAAGAGGCAACGTTGCTGTATTTTGGCAGTGATTGTGTGTCAGGAAAAGGTGAATATGGAGGATCCTCTCTAACTGTCTGAGATGTGGAAGCCAACAACATATTGTTGGATAAAGTATTTGTGTACGCTAGCTGCAAAAAAAGGTAAAAAGAATTAAAATTGAGAAGCCCTCATACCAAACAGACACTTAAATACAATAAAAAGAAATTCTACAGGTACCAAAATTCATATATTCCTGCAACATATTAACTACCATAAACATTAAAGGAAAAAAGCAATGGTTGGTGATAAAGTGTTATCTGGTAACCGATATATTGTATCTATATGGAAAAAATATCTTGATTAACATCTCAATACACTCGTATTTATGTGTATATATATTTTAGTTCGAAAATTGAATGGGTGGAGGATCGAACCATCAACTTAAGGATGATAATAGGTGTCTTATTCACTTGAGCTGCGCTCGGATTTACATCTCATGTCACCTATTGTACTAAGGTTTAATCATCCTTCATGTATTGCTGTGACTGATCATATAACTGTTAGAAAAAGTACTGCTGTGGCACAATTTTGTTTACCTAAAAATATCTTAAGAGCAAAAATACACGAAATTTAATGAAGAGAACAAATTTTATAAGGAACCAACAAATACACAAGGGCAAGTGAAGAAAAAGAGAAAATTAAAATTAAAATTCATGGAACTTATTAATTAACCAATATACATCACCAAGTTCTCCATTCTACCAACACCTGGATTTGAGTTCACAACATCCAAGTGAACCAACACTGCACCCTTATAGTAAGAATATTTTAATTCTAACAGGCCTTCGTTCAACTGCTTGTTTGGTAACTATTCAGAAAACAACTTCTAAAATTTGTTTAGAAGTAATCTAAAAACCCTTCCTGAAAAATGGTTTTTCTCAATGAGAGCTGGTTTCTTCATATATATATATATGAACTCCTTAGAAACAATTTCAAAAACTTTTCTTGCATCATTTCTCCAAATAAGTCCCTAAATTTCTTCAAGCAAAATTTTCCTATGAGACAAAAAAAAGAGCACAGTGCATATCCAAAGAACTGAATGTTTGACATTACCATTGCCCTCTCAAGATTCTGCATTTCTGAACTATTCTGTATGAATGGAATTTCAGACGGTTGATTGCTCTCATAACTAAATGAAGGAGAAGAGGATGGAAATGCATATAGATTAGCCTGAGAATTTTCAGAGCTTTCCTGCTTCACCTCGGCTTGTGTCGCAGGAGTTTCGTAATATCCACCACTTGCACTAGTTCTATGGATTAGATTCCCATCTGAGTTAGCATCATCCTCATAATACTCAGAATTTCTGCAAGAAATAAATTAATGAAATTGTAACCAATAAAGTAAGCTATGAGAAGCAATGACAGTTTAATTTAGATAACATTTATGATAAACTCCAGGACTTGTTGGACATTTGTCAGGTGCTCTTTAAGTACAATAGACACATATGAACATTTGCACAATGATGTGTTGAACACTTATGAACAACAATTTCAACACTCAAACCCGAGTCAACAATATCTTTTATAAAAAATTTGACATGCATAAAAAGAAATGTAGGAGGAAAATAATATTGTTGAGAGTAAAAAAACATCCATTCTTTTTTGAAACTTATAAATGCATAAATTGTGGCCTTTATACTTCCTACAAAATTTTAAATTGATTCGGATGTTTTTCAAAAAAATTTACATGAAGCAGAATACATTAGAACCAAGTAAGAGTTTCTTCACTTGAAATAGTGTTATATTGTCAATTCATATGAAAATATCACAAACTGGCGTTTTAAATAAATAACATGTCCACATATTTATGCTGTATTGTGTATATATCCCATTTCCAAGAAAACAATAGTTTCTGTAGAAGATACCTAGCCTCGGAGTGACCAACTGAAGAGACATCTGCTGGTGCAGAGGCCTCCTCTACATTACTATTCGGAGGCCTGTTAAGAAATGTCCCAGACCCAGAAAACGCAGCATTAGTCCCAGGTCCAAAACTTCCAAAGCTCAAATGAAAGCAATCTGGGGTGTGAAGCTGGAGGTGATGTGGAATTACAACAGAAGGATTATCCTCTTCAGGTGGTGAGCCCTGATCTTCATTCTGTAAGCTTAATTGCTGAAAATTTGCAGACATTGATGAAACGCCTTCTTCAGCTGGAAAAGGCAATTATAGAAAATTATAAGTTGGTATAATTTGTAAGAAATCTGAATCCTAACCAACTTCTTCCATTATTAGGTCAAAAACAACTGTTAAGTAAAAATCAAGGAAAAGATAAAAACCTTCAATAAATGAGAAACACATATTTTCTTGATAGAATGAAATATACAAAAGGGGGAAGGGACCGACCCACGAAGATGTGTTAAAAAAAAAGCCCTCAAATTCATCAAAAGGTCATCTAATGTGTAGCTATAAAAGGAAGTAAAGTGAAATTTACACCAGCTGAGGGACATAACCAAGACTATTAAAGAAGTTGCTGAAGATATCGTATAACAAATAACACTTAAATTGAAGTACAACAAAGATTTAGTTTTAGGATAAGGCTTAATCCACCTAGAAGGAAAAATGATAATAGAAATAAATTGCAATGACCCATGTTCTCAAAAACCAAATAATATCGTCTCGTCTATAAAACCAAAGATGTCACAGAATATCTTCAAACTAATAGCCACAAAGATAATATTTATAATCCTAATTCCACGTGCAATGAATTTCTTCAACTTCCCATAAAAAAAACTCAGTTTTCAACATAACCAAAATTTCCAACATAAAGCCAAACAAAATTACAATGACAAACCAAGAAAACCCATATATAAATGAAGAACAAAAGAAAGACATTAAACTTAAATGAGTTCTTCAAACCAAACTTAATTTTGAGAGTCTACGATAGTTATTTCACATCTTCATACTGGATGTTTCGTTTTCAGGAAAGAGAGAGTACAAATATATACTAATAGTTAAAGAAAGATATTAAATTAAGATGAGATTTTAAACCATATTAAAACCCGAGATGATGAGTTTTATGAAAAACTACACATTTCAAACACACAAACATTTACAAGCATCTACCTTTAAGAAACAACTTCGTTAATCAGAAAATGGAATTTGGCACAATACTTACACAAAAAATGGAATTTTAAAGCAGTGCCCTTTTTTGCATATTATCATAACGTAGATAGGATACCAAATCTGACCATGAATGAAGTTTATTCAAAAGGAAGACATCTAATAGACTAGAGTGATATAATAAAAGGTTCACCAAAGTAATGACATATTATAACTGAGAGTAATTTAAAGATGAATGGAGATTTGAAAGATAAACGACCCACTGAAACATCTGCCAAATTTTGGTTTTTAAACCATTTACAAGAACAAATCAAAGAACATCAATAAAACATCATCATATATGCTCAAGGAATTCAATACTGATTTATAAGAAGACAATTTTACTGAAACAAAACTTTTTAGAACAGCAGCAAAAAGATAACCTTCATTATGTTCAATAGCATGCCTTTGTGGCAGGTAGGAGCTCATGTCATCATATAAGTTACTATCTGACACAGAAGTACCCCGAGAATTATCCTCTTGCATATTTCTACCCAGTATAGAAGCATGCGCGTCATGATTTGCATCAATTGCGTCAATAGAACCACCTTCAACCCCCTGAACCTTTTCTTGATGTATATGCTGATTAGCACCATCCAAGGATAAGTTGGCTGGATTTGAATGCAAATCCAAGACTACAGGTGATTCTATGGTACTAGAGATACTGACAGCTTGAGGAGGCTCAATTGAGGGCCATTCATCATCAAGAGCTGCCTGCTGACTCATAATACCCGGGCCAGTGTGAACTTCTGGAACTGTGGAAGCCTGATGTTGAGCTGTATGAAAATTCTGGAGTGATGGTGCACATTGAAATGGAACACTGTTGTGCGAACTAGCACCTTGAAGGGAAGTGTTTTGCACCGAGGAACTCTTGCCCTGAGGTTTTCCCATCTTAACAATGTCAGCCATTGATACTTGGCCCTGAGCACCTAACCAGCCAGATTGATAGCCAAAAGATGACTGAGAGGATGAAATTGCTCCATCTCCTGCACCTAATCCCGCTAACTTATTTTCTGTAGCCACATTGTTGCTGCAATAGTGATTAGAGGCATGTAAGACTAGTTTCAATTCATTGAAAACAATCTTTAAAATATAATATAATCCAACAATAGAAGTTCCAATATGGATCAGTGTCTTGTATAGTTTTAGAATCCACGAGAGGCATAAATACAAAAACCTCTCGTCGCTAGAAACAAATTGTTAAATGATATTTTATTTACACAGTTATGAAAAATTGTAACTGTGCCAATCATCATTATATTGATTCCCACAAGATGACAAGAACACAAAAAATACTGAACTTTATTATTGCAACTCTCCATCAACTCCAACTCTAGGAAAACACCAGAGCACAGGGGTGGGGTTTTCATTCTTCCACTCCAATTTAAAACAAATCGACTTTTATTTTAATAGACTTAGATTTATGTCAACTGTTGTTAGTTTCTGGGTTTATGTAAAAGTTTGTATGTAGTACAAAAGATAGGTTTTATAAGCCTGAATCTATATAATTTGAATTTTAGTCTGTGCCTTTCCCTGATGGTTATGACATTCTTCGTTTCTGATAAAAAAAATATATAATTTGGACTTTTTAGTCATTATATTAATAAGCTTGTAGCTTGGGCTAAGCAAACTTACCCACCAAGAGTTGGACCACTTAATCCTAGGTAACACAAGTTTAACTCGCGATTCAAACACCTTCCAAAAATGTGTTGACAACATACTCCATGCAGTCCTTTTAGCAGAGGTGAGAATATAAACAAAAATTTCCTCATTAAGAAACCAAATCCACAAAATTATCTAAAACTCTTTGATATGTCACCAATGTAACCTTTTTGTCATGACTGACTTAAGCGATCCAAAAGTGAGAAACTAAAAACCTAAAGACACAAATCTTCAACCAAAATACCCAAAATTCTTACCCTTTTGTGAATGATATAGCTTTGATATCTACAAATAGTCTTATCCACAAGGACAATAAATGCAAAATTCAAACTCATTTCCTACTATTGTACATTAAGCACCTCATATAAAAAAACTTTTAAAAGTAATGGAGTACAAAAATTATAGAGAGTAAAGATCCAGCAAAGAGAAACTTCACAATCTCTCCACTACACTAGTTTGAAAACAACAGTATACTTATTTGAAACATTACTAGCAAAGAGCTCTATCTATAAATAACGTTCAACCATGGTAGCATAGGACTCAGTAATTCACCATTGACAAGTACAAAGCAAGCTTATAACTTTTAACCTGTGAGATGGGAATTGGTAGTATGTCTGATTTCCCGACTGACCAGATGCAGAAGATGAACCAGCTTGATCATTAGCTCCATTTTCTTTTTTGTACACAGGTTTACTGTGCAAGACACCAGATTCTGAAAGAACAATGAAAAATTTGTCAACATTGAGTTGAGTGACAAATATATGGAATTCTAGACTCCATAGCATCATTCACATACCACTGGAACCAAACTGGTTCAAGCTACCACGTCCAGCATAACGATCTGTACCACCCTTACTTGGACGACTGGAAGGGATGTTAGGACCACGAGATCTGGAATCAATCGGATCTTTATTCTAAAAAAGGAGGAGAAAGAGAAAGTCGGTAAACAACAATTAAGTTAGCCACCAAATCAAGCCAAACCAACAAAAGTTATATCTTGATGACATGATGAAAACTTTTTAGAACAAATATGTGCATTCCTTTCACATACGCACCTCTTTTTTCTTTTCTCGTTTGCTCTTCACCTCGTGAAAAGGGTCTACACAAACGATAGAATAAAATTAATATAATCTTCAAATCTTTAGACTCCCACAGATTGAGACTAATACAAAGCACAGCCCCTTATGTCCTAGTCTAGTAGATAATTCATTCAATATTAAGTATTTAACATTCCCAACCGCATAAAATACACGTATGCGTAACAGAAAGCACAAACAAAAGTTAGCGAGATTCAGAACAGAAACTTGAACCATCAAGCACAATGCATAAAAGGCAAACCTTCCTTATTCAGACAACGATAGAAACAAGGTGGTGAATCGTTAGCCAGGCATGAGAACATAGCTAAATCAGAACTACATAGTACACCATGTATCTTTCTAGTCACATACACGTTCGATAACGGTGAAAAATAAAACTTTAAAACTTTAAAATAGAAAACCCCGCAAGAACCGAGACAACAGTTTGGCGACTAGTAAGCCATTAAACAGAACACCTATACTAATCAAGTGCGAATTTTGATTTCTTTCTCACGCCATACATCCCTGGGTTCTTGCAGCAAAACCCAGCGGCTATAACGACAGAACGATAAATCTTCTGGACGCGAGAGACGAAACCATCAACATCAACATCAACATAGAATTAGAAAAGAGACCTTGCGTCAGAAGGCGATTAACGGCTTCATCAGGATCCATATTACAATCTCTGAGGGTAGCATAGATCTCCTGGTCGGTGCAGTTATTTACAATCTCTTTTAAGCTCTGGACCATCTTCCGCCACTCTGCCGGGATTCCAGAGGTTCCATTGTTGGTTTTGCCTCCTCCTCCTCCTCTGGCGCCCATGCTGTTTCACTATGTTAGGGTACCTCTTCCGCTCGCCGGCCGGAGGTTCAGATCTGATAAACCTTCGAAAAGGGCTGGGTTGCTCCGCCTCCCGCTAGGGTTCCGCCGTGTCAACAAGAAGATATATTTGTCGAAGTACTGTAAACGACTCTCTCTCGAGTCTGGCTCTGCTTTTTGTTACGCATCGAAAACCCTTTCCCTCTCTATCTCTCCCTTTTTTCTGTCTCGCCAAATTTATTATTACTTTTCTTTTCTTTTCTTTTCCCCGATAACAATAACAATAATAATAATCCCAACTAAAAATAAAAGAACAAATATTGTTATTATTGTTTATTTTATTTTATGTATAATAAAGTTAATAATAATAAAAACACATACATATGTATAATATTAGCGAACTTCGTATCATTTTTATATGATGCAGCATGATAAGTATACCATAAAGTTATCTTATTTTAGTCAGATTTTTTTTATTTGATTGGTGAAAGAAAAATAACAAATAATTATTCTTAAAATAATTCAATATATATATGTATATGAATATATATATATATAATTTTTTTTGAAATCCGCGCGCACCTTGACTCTTCATGGACCAACTGTCTAATCTTGTTACATTTGATTGACAAGATAATTTACAAGATAATAAATCTTAAATAGGTGGCCACATAGTATGATTATATAAAATAATTATATAAGAGATGAAATGAAAACTTAGAAATAAAAATAGAGGTAGCATTTTTTAATTAGATAATTATCAACAAAATCATGTGCTATTTATATTTTCTAGATTTTGTTTTAAAAATTTATAAATATGACAAATTTGAAAATAAATCCTAATGTATACGGTATACCGTATTACCAAAAGGAAAAATCACACAATTTATTATTTTTATAGAAATTTAAATGTAAAACAAAATTTAGTCGGAACAAATGTGAACAAGACAATTATGACGTTCGTTAATTATTTTTAAATTTTTTAATTTTGTAAGATAAACAAAAAAAATGATTCCCAGAAAATACAAAATAGAATCTTATTCTCCATATAAAAAAATAGTTGGAATTAGAATCCATTCTCTTTCTATAAAAGGTAATACAACGCACCCCACGCAATTTGGAAGCAAATTTAAATTGCAAAATAAGAATTTAAAATTTAAAAAGTAATATTAGTAAATAATTTCTTTAATTTACGAAACTAAGAAATGCGAATAAAATAACTCCAGTGAAGTGCAACCCGCCGACCCGGATGTTATTTGGCGGAAACATTTTGATAATAAAATATGTCAGTGTTTATCCAAAATGTTTATTTTTTTTTTCAAAATATTCGCGTGACGGCGTCCTTATTCGGGCCATTTATGGACTGGGCCTGCAATTCAAACATTGGGCCTATGCTACGTAACGTCGTTCGTGGACCTTAAAAATAAGGTGGCCCAATGTTAATTTATTTGCACCGCTGATCCTACAAAATAACTCACATTATTATCTTTAAATTGGTTATATTTGGTTTAATATAAGAACAAGAGAAATCACATTTTGGAAAAAGAAAAGAAAAAGTTTGGATTTTGTTGTTTACCAGGAAAATATCAATTTTAGCCCTAAACTTGACAAAGTGTATCAATTTGTACAACTTAAAATTTCATCAGATTGCATCTCAAAACTTAAAAAAATGTTAATAAGCTTTCATTAAAAAAAAATTTGGTTGAAAAAAGCATTATTAGCTCACGTCAATGAATGATAAAACATATATTTAGTATGGAATCGATTTGATAGGATTCATACCAAAACGACGTTGTAGCTTTTTTTTTTTCTTTAAGAAATTAGTTATATATATATATCTTTAGTAGCTGAACTGCTTAAGTTTGACTATATAAGTATCTCATGTGTGTCATTAATTATATGAGTTAGCAATGTGATTATCATTACAAGATAAATAATATTTTTATTGTTCTTTCTAGAAAATCTCATGTTTAAGAATTTAAATATTCGAGTATTTGAACGTTTTAAGGATGAGGAATAATTATGTTTACTTTAGAGGGTATAATCCATTGATAATACTTTAGAATAAGAACAATTGTAGGATAGTAATATAATAAAATTACTAATTGTTAGAATAACTAAATATCATTGTTTCAGTATGCATGTCAATTTACTGTGAATTTAGTTGACATTTCCATCAACTTCGCAACCTATATTATATCATAGTCATTTGGGTGCCATATAAGAATCCAATTTTCCAAAACAAGCATCAATTCAGATGTGCATACCATAACCGAAAAAACCAAGAAAACTAACAAAACTAAAATGAAACTGTTAATTTCATTGCTGAGAAACATGTATGGTTAGATACATAAGACACGAATATGACACAACAAGACGCGGTGATACTTTATCGTTGAGTTTTTTTTTTTCTTTTGAAGAAAAAGTAATTCATTAATCAAAAGCCTCGTGGACTACAATTGAGAGAATACCACCCTGAGCAACATTTAAGCCATAGTGGAAAATATAATTCATCGTTGAGTTAGATGCATAGCTAGATACYAAAAATTTTTAAAAATCTAGAACACAGATATAGASGCCGAARATTTTTAGAAATCTAGACCGAAAATTTTTAAATATCTATAACATAGATATAAACATAGATATGACAAAAACACGTTTATTAAAGTATACAATATATATTATGTATATAAAAGGAAGTTCACAAGAGATTATATACAAGTTCACAAGAGATAAGTCAATGAGTTTAACGTYTACTATTTATRTCTATTTCTCATGTTTAATACTTAACAAATATTCGATACATACCTAAGAGTATAATATGTATTCAATAAGTGTTAAAAGTGCCCAACACAAATCCATTACCAAAACCAAGTATCAGTGCTTTTCTTAGTGTACTTGTCTAGATTTTATTAGATTCAGTTGATCCAATTCAATTTTGATCAGTTTGGTGGTTGATATGGTTTCATTAGAAAAAGAGTTCCAACATCGATATTTSGTTTCAGCTCAAAATCGACTCGAAGTTTCGAACCGATCCACCTGTGCACCCCCATTTATTTGCAAGGGTTCAGAAGCCATGAGCTGCAGTAAAGCAAAGCACCAGTGGTGAGAATTGATAATTCTGTGGCATAATTAGAGARTTAGTAATTTAGTATCTGGCAGTTGAGTGGATTAGTGGGGTTGTTTGTCAAAGAAGGCATCAAAAGCCTCTACAAAAAATGGTTGCAGAGAGAGAATGATTTGATTCCTGTTTTGCTGGCTAAGTAGCACAGCACTGAGCTTTGGAACCTAAACAGATTCTCAAGGGGACAATATTCTTGATCACAAACTACAAGATGCAACTTGTGCACACAAATCTATCACCCATAACCCACCTTTAACTTTCTGATTCAGTGCCATAAAAACAGTAAAAAGAGAAGCTCTAAAGAGGGGGGGAAATGCCACCACACGACACTGCAGAATCGGTACTTACCCGAATGCCTTATTTTAATACATCTATCAGATTTGAATTCCCCAGCAGATATATTTTGCCTTTCCTTCTCCGTATACCTTTTTCCATTTTTTAAACCTTCTCTTGCTTGCAGTTCCAAACTATACAATGCCTCCTTTCTCAAGTTTCCTCATATTCTCCTCCCCCTTCTTTCTGACTCTTGATGATCCAAGAAAGCTTAGATTCTGTCTTCCAGCTCCTTGTATATATTGCATCCCGCCAAAAAGGGTATTTCTTCTTTGCAGAAACACATTTGATATATTCCTAAATTTCATAAATCTTTGGTTCTGTCATTGTCCAAAAACTTGGAAGATCAAGAACCAAACATTAGAAGTAATTTGGAGAGATGGGTACCTGCATTCACCTGCATTTTGCATCGCTTTCCTTGTTTATCTTCCTCAATCTAGGTAAATCAGCATTCAATGTTTTTTTTCCCTGCACAATGATATTACAGTAATCTTCTAATAATGAATGCATCATCTAGCTGTTATTACTTCTAATCTTCTAATGTGTGGCTTATCTTCCACCGAACGTAATTTTCCTGTTTACTATTCTGAGATAATGTGAAGGGGATTTCACCTTTTCATGTTTCTATGAAAAGAAAAATGAAGGAACTGACCTGCCTTTTCGTTCCTTCAGGTTCAAGTATTGCAGAAACTCCGTTTTTACGAGCAAACCAAGAAAATTCTGTACTGCAAAATCAAGAAGATCAAATACCATTTTTTTCAACTCCGCTCTCTAGCACTCAACTGGACACAATTCCCATAGTGAATCCAACCATCCCGGGCGGCACAACTCCAACAACAACTCCAATTACAAACCCGACATCTCCGCCAGCACAACCAATCTCGACAGGACCAACCATAACCCCGACAACCCCAGTAACCACCACAGGCGGTGGAAGTTGGTGTATAGCAAGCCCAGCTGCTTCCCCAACCGCTTTGCAGGTAGCTCTTGACTATGCTTGTGGCTATGGAGGTGCGGACTGCTCAGCAATTCAAACGGGAGGAAGTTGCTTTGAGCCCAACACCATGCGAGACCATGCTTCTTATGCCTTCAACGACTACTACCAGAAGAATCCAGCTCCCACGAGCTGTGTGTTTGGAGGAACGGCGCAGATCACCAACACTGACCCCAGTAAGAAAGATCACCACTTCAAAGTTTTTTAAATTCAGAACTATAACCAAAAAATAGGCAATGAACCATCTCCAGTACTGAAAAAGAGAGAGAATCAATGCAACAGTAGGTATTTGGTCACGATTGTTGCTTCCTAATTTCATTATAAATGTTTAAATTAAAAAAAATGAAAACTAAACACCCTTCTATTTCAATGGTAAGAATATTACAGAGATATCTAAGAAACATTTACCATACAAATCGAATCACCTCTCAGAATTTGAACATCCCAGCATTCTGATAAATTAAATATTTATTCATTCCTCAAATTGAAACGTGAACATCTCTTTACTTAATGATTGCAGGCACTGGAAGTTGTCGCTATGCAGCACCAAGATCAACGCCAAGGTAAATTGTTTTGTTCCCTCCGCTCGAATCCGATTAAGAAAAAAGGGGAAAAGAATCTCATATTTCTCGTTCATGTGAATGCAGTACAACCACACCAATCATCAATCCACCGACGAATCCAACACCGATGCCGCCAGCAAACCCGACCATAACCACACCAACACCGACCGACACAATGCCTACCGATACCCCGCCGATGGATACCACGCCGACCGACGCCGGTGGTTATGGGTCAGAACCATCAGACACAGCGAGCTCGGCGATTCCCGTCTCGAATTGCTTCTCATTCGTCTTCTTGGGGTTACTTCTTCTGGCAAATTGGATGTAAGAGGAAGCAGAAAGCGACTCAGAATCTAATCCATTACAATCCGCAGAGGGAGAAGGAATTTAGATTATTGTGCCATGTAACGCCTATATAAAGGAGGAGTCCACGGGGAGAGGGAAATCGGGGGGAGGAGGAGGAAATTATCCTAGGGTTTCTGCTGTAGTAGAGATAGAATAAATTCTGTAGCTTATATCTACGTTTAGGACTGTATCCCCTCGGCAGCTCTGTGTTCTCCAATTTAGTTCGTCCACTTTATTCAGTTCATATTCTTTAAAAATATATATATATTTGAAAAAAATATATGAATAATACTTAATTATTTATCCGTCATAACTCATTTTTTGACAGGTAGAAGAGAGTTAGAAGGAAGAAATTAAGATAACTTTTTATGTATATTTAAAAAAAAAAAACTGTCAATTTTTTAAAAAACATCTAGTACGTGATATGAATGTAATGTATGTCTTAACCAATTTAGATATGTTCCACAACCGAGTCAATTTACCTGCTCACACCTCTRGTTCAGATTTCCATTTCGATTAACCGAACATAAAAATCTACCATCTTTTAAGATATTCATAGCGAATGGTAAGGAACAGCATTGAAATTTTGACACAAAACATTGGAAAGTCATTAATTAATTATAATTGTCATCCGTTAATCTTGACATGAATTCTGATGCACACTACTCATTTATCATTAGAACATTGCTTGGAATTGTAGACTCAAATTATCATTCCCATGCTTGAATTATAATACAAAGTTTTTTTTTTTAAATCCAAATTTTAGTTTAGCATACTCATTTCGGTGTAACATCCTTTCTTAAATATCCATTCCAGGAAAATATTGATATATCCATTTTCATAAAACTCAATTCTATCTGTATCCTCTTTCAAAAAATAAAAATAAAAATCTATCTGTATCCACTGATAGTGTCAATTCCGAAATAAAACAATCTACAAAAAGAGATTTATCATCCTAAATATAAATTAATTTTGCTGCTCAGCTTCAGAATGACTTTATGAGATCTAAACTGAATATATTAGCAAATTTCACCATCATGAAGAAGAGGAGAAAATCCATTAGTTCGATAAACAAGTTTACAGCTTTTCTACAACAGACTGTTGTGTTATAGCCAACATTTGAAGAAAAAAGATGAATAAAATCTCTGTAATATCACATTTATTGAAATTATTACTGACATGATTAAATTTTCAAGCAATCCTCAGTCAATTGAAATTCGGTTCATCTATCAAGATTAGCATTTGATTAACCAAAATGTAATGACAAATTACATCTTCCATTAACAATAATCTTCAGAAGCAGAGAACATAAGGAAGCAATATACGTAAGTTCAGAAAGTACAGAGGCAATAAAATGGCATAATCCGTCACATTAAACAAGTAGGAGTTTTTAAGTACTGTGGAGGAGGGAGAGAMTATTACAAAGAGAGCTGGGTTATGCTAAACTATTATCCTATTAAAAGTAAACCTCAACATAGGTGAATTGGCTWAGACATATAACTTCGATCAATAAGTCGGAAGTTCAAATTCCGATCCCACACGTTGTCSCCTACTAATGAATCTGTTTATATTTATTCACACCAGGATACAAGGACTCAAAATAAAAAGATCCTATGAAGATAACTTCTTTTTAAGTCAACTTGAGGATAGCTCAACTAGTTATAGCATATATACTCAACTAAAAGGTGAGAKATTCCGAATCCCACATGTTGAACTAAAAAAATCCTTTTAAGCATTATGGGGAAGGAAAGAATTAGTGACGTACCTAACATTTTTCCATATGGAGGAAGTTAGAACTGCCCTTCAAAAGACCTGCAGAAAACCATAAAACTTCTTATAGTATAAAAGATAGCGATCATCATCTATCAATAAGCTAAGCTAATTCATGCAACCCAAAGTAATCGAGAAATTATCCCTTCTCATAGAAGYATATATATCAAAACATCCCTTCA